GCAAATGTCACATTCCCATTGAGTGATCCTTTTTCTGTTGTCTCCTGCTGTCTTGATCTGGACACTAGCGGTAGTACTTGTCATCTGGTATTCCCCCCCATCTGCCAGATTGTAAGATTCTTGAAGCTAGGAGCTAAGCCTTATTCACCTCTTGCACCTAGCATAGTACAGTCATCTCTTGGTATCCATGGGGGATTGATTCCAGGAGCTCCCGCAGATACCAAAATCCATGGATACTCAAGTCCCTGATATAAAATGGTATAGTATTTGCATGTAACCTAATCACATCCTCCTGTATACTTTAAATCATTTCTAGATTACTTGCGATACTAATACAATGTAAATGCTATGTAAATGGTGGTTATGCTGTATTGTTTAGGGAATCATGACAAGAAAAGTCTGTACATGTTCAGTAAAGAAACAATTTTTAAGTAAACATTTTATTTTGGAATAATTTTAGATTCATAGAAAAGTTGCAAAAATAATATATGAAGTTCCCATCTATCCTGCACCCATTTTCCTCTAATGGAAGCATCTTACATAACCATGGTCGGTCAAAACTAGGAAGTTAACATTTGTGTATTACTATTAATTGAACTCCAGATTTTCAACAGTTTTTCCACTAATGTTCTTTTTTTGTTCCAGGACCCAATGCAGTATACCCCACTATATTTAGTCCTCATGTCTCCTTGATCTCTGTGACAATTTCTCAGTGTTTCCTTGTTTTTTTAAAATCACGTTGACAGTTTTAAGAGTGCTAGTCGGGTATTCTATAGAATGTTTCTCAGTTTGGGATTTTTCTCATATTTAGACCAGAGTTAGGTGTTTTGGAGGAGAATACCACAAAGGTGAAGCAGACTCAATTTTTTAACAAAAATTTTCCCTTGTGGTTGGTTGAATCCACAAATGTGGACTCATGGACATGAAGGGTCAACTGACTTGGCACAAAAATGTCAGAGTTGAGCTGAGCCCAGGAGTGGGGAGCAGCTATCCTCACTAGACCCCCACAGGAGCCACAAAGGGAACCGAGGGTGTACATGTCTCATTACATGAGTCTCTGTTTCTCATGTAACTCAGCACACAAGAGTCAGAGGTCCAACTGCTACAGAATGCCAAACGTTTCACTGAGCAAGTACAACAGCAGCAGTTTCACCTGCAGCAAGCTGATAATTTTCCAGAAGCATTCTCCACGGAGGTCTCCAAAATGAGAGAACAACTTCTCAAGTATCAAAATGAATATAATGCAGTGAAGGAAAGAGAGTTCCATAATCAGTACAGATTAAATAGGTAAGTGAACAATGCTCTCCAGCACACTGAAAAGTCATTTCCTCATAAATAGAAAAAAAAAAAAAGAGATGAAGTTGGAGGTAACTGAAGGAGTAGGAGACAGCAATATGATGATGATTGCAAGCCTAGTTCTCTTGAATCCTTAGAATGGAATGGGAAGTCCCTAAACAAGAAAATTACACTTCTCGAATAAAAGCTCAGGTGACAGAGATGCCTGCTGTGTTTTTCATGTCAGAAAAGCCATCTCATTGACAGCTGCAGCCAAAGAACACACTCCATCAAACAAGTTCTTAGCACTCCCTTGCCCTCCCCCTGCCCTGGCAGTGGCCCCTCATGCGTGCAGTACCAGAGCATGCATCTGCATGATGGGCGCTTCTCCCCACATGCGTTTTCCAAACAAGCCTCCATGAGCTGAGGGTCACATCTCATCTGGCTCACTCTATTCTTCTAAGAGAACAGCAATAGGACCACATATGCAAACTTCATCTCCTACTACTAGGCTATTCCTCAGGATCAAGGAGAAAAGGTACATCCTTTTGGAAGACACATTTACTTATCCAAATTTAGAGGACGTCATTTAGTGAACTAAAGCAGACATTAAGTGCTAAAAGGGGAAGTGTTATTTTCAAAATCTCTTCTAACTTTCCTCCCAGGGAGTAGCAAGTCAGTGGAAGAGTTTGTTCAGCAAGTCATACTATTTAGATTGAATTTGAAAATGATGGCAATTCAGGTTTTCTGCTGTGGTGTGCTGTGTGCTGTGCCTGGGTACAGGGGAGAAAGCAAAACCATTTCTCCTAGAGTTTGTTACCATTTAAGGTGGCAGAACTTTCTCTGGCTATTTTTAAGAGGTGGACTTCTGACAGTGCAAATATAATTCAGTCCTTCCTAGAGATAAGCAAATGACTTGAGCAACCTCTCGAAGACCTTAGAAGCCCTGGGTTTAAAATCTTCTCTTTGGGGCCTATTTTTTCACTGGCGGTGGGTGTGGGTGGGGTGTGAATAAAGAAGGTCAGTTTAATCAAGACATCCTATTCAGGGGGGAAATTGGAGGTTTCTTGTCTTTCAATCTAAACTTGTTTCAGGCTTTCCAGTGAGATCTATAAACAGAAAGCCCAGCAATTTCTGTGCTCTGTAAGCACTCTTTCAGTTGAGAAAATAATGAAATTAAAACAATTGGTGGTTGTTCATTAGTATTGAAAATGTGAATGCTTGACATTTCCATGAAAGAGTAAGAAGAACTTAAGTCAGTTGATATTTAAATTGTTTAAAATTTCCAACTATTCCTGCCAAGAGAAAAAAAAACAAAAGCAAAAACCAGAACTGTTGCCCTTTAGGTATAGACAGGCAGATTATTCACTGAGATGGGAAGGAGACAATGCGTAGTGACCTGCGGTGAATAAGAACATTCAAAATGCACATTTGCAGAAATGTTTAGTATGTATTCTTTTTGAATTTATAATGTATCATTCTTAAGCTTGAGAAGGTTCCCTTGCATTCTCAAATATTAACGGCTCAAGAACTAACAAGCTTATTTTCCTAAAAATAATGGTGATGCTAAAAGAAATAGCGGTCAAGAATGATAGGCTCTGCATTTCATTGCCTTACCATATTTAGTATCACAGTCATGCACCTCATAATGGTGTTTTTCAGTCAACAATGGACTGTCTATATGATGATGGTCCCATAACATTGCAATGAAGCTGAAAATGTACTTTTGCCTAGTATTTACTATTTGATACATTTTATTTTTATTTTGGAGTGTACTCTTTCTACTTCTTAAAAAAAATATATTAACTGTAAAACAGCCTCAGGTAGGTCCTTCAGGAAGTATTCCAGAAAAAGGCATTGTTATAGGAGATAACAGCTCCTAAATACCTTCCAGTGGGACAAGATGTGGGGGCAGAAAACAACGGCTTTGATGCTGACCCTGTGTAGGCCTAGGCTAATGTGTGTGTTTATGTCTGTTTTGTTGTTTGTTTGTTTTGAGACAGAATTGTGCTCTGTTGCCCAGGCTGGAGAGCAGTGGCATGATTTCGGCTCACTGCAATCTCTGCTTCCCGGGTTCAAGCAGTTCTCTGCCTCGCCTCCCGAGTAGCTGGGATTACAGGCACCCATCACCACACCCGACTAATTTTTGTATTTTTAGTAGAGATGGGATTTCACCGTCTTGGTCAGGGTGGTCTTGAACTCCTGTATGTCTTTAACAAAAAATGTTGTAAAAGTAAAAAGAAATTTAATTAAAAACCTTGTAGAATAAGAATACAAAGGAAAAAAATATTTTTACACAGCTCTACAATGTGTATTTTAAGCTGTGTTATGAGTCAAAAGCTAAAAAACAAAAGTAAATTTTGTAAAGTAAAAAAGTTACAGTGCATTTATTATCAAACAATAATATGTTTTATAAATGTAGTGTAGCCTAAGTGTACAGTGTTTATAAAGTCCACAGGAGTGTAAGTAACGTCCTAGGTCTTCACATTCACTCACCACTTGCTCACCCAGCCACTGACTCACCCTGAGCAACTTCCAGTCCTGCAGCCTCCATTTATGGTAAGTGCCCTAGACAGGTGTACCATTTTTTATCTTTTATGCCATATTTTTACTGTGTGTGTTCTTTGTTTAGATACACAAATACTTATTGTATTACAATTGCCTACAGTACTCAGTCCGGTAACCTGCTATGCAGGTCTATAGCCTAGGTGCGACAGGCTTTACCACACAGCCTAGATGTGTAGCCGGCCACACCATGTAGGTTTGTGTAAGTGCGCTCCATGTGTTCACACAGTGATGAAGCTGCCTAACGACGCATCTCTCAGAATATATTCCCTTCGTTAAGCGACACATGATTGCACATGATACAGAAACCAGTTCCCTCAACACCCTCCCGCTGACCTCCGTCCCCCTGGAAAAAGTAGATATTTCCATCCCCACATAAAAATAAAGAGATGAAGCTAATGAGAGAAAACTATTCATCCACACGCACAGATGACATTTGCCAGAACAGCACAACAGACTCTCATTGAGTGTCTAGATAATAGAAGCCCAAGTAACTAGCACTCCTCCACCCAATATCTTCAGCAACTTCTGAATCACTGGCAACTACTAAGAACAACATATTGTTCCAATACTCTAGAGAAAGGATTTTGCTGTGTAATTTTGTTGATTTTTTTGTGTATGTTCACATAACATAAACCTTTTAATAAATGTTAATAAATCTAATTATGTAGTTGGTTGGTTAGTAATTAAATCTATGTCGCAGTAGTTTCTGGTTCTGGATTAATATTTATGACTTGATAAGCATGCAGTTCAGGAAATAATATGTAGTCTATTTAAAGTTAAATTAATACATTATAAATAAATAATAAAGTAATGAAATGCTGTTGAACTTATTTTTTGAAACAAAACAGGAGTACTTACCTTTCTAAACAGTTTGAAAAGATTTTTCAGTACTCTCTTCAACCTTTTCCTTTCCTTGACTGTGTTACCTTTTGGGGCTTCCCTGTTTTCTAGTAATTCCTAAACTTTGAACAGCAAATACATTGCGTCTTTCGTGCTAGATCTGACGCATTCTGACCAGTCTTGGTCAGCTGGGGGAAACAAAGCTGTGGTGAGCTGGCACTGTCCGTTGCGCTGTGAACACGGAGAGTGGGAACACTCAGGCCACACACGTGCAGGGCTGTCCTGACGTGACCCTGACCTTAGCGACTGTTGATTCTCCTGTGGCTGGTTCCTGTGGTCCTTGTTGCACATTCAGGGTTTATTAGTTGTTTTCCGTTCTTGGTCCAGTGATGATAGCAAAGTTGGAAACAAGAAAAAACAGATCTGGTAAGAAAGGAAAGGAGGAATGATCTTAGCAATGCATCTGGAATTCCAGAAAATTAGAATGTGACAGGCATGTAGGTACTTAGGAGTAGTCACAAGGAAAAACTCATAGCTAGAACAGATTTTACCTTAACTTAAAAAAAAAAATCTTTGCTCTACTGTGGCAACAACTATCTTAAAAGAACTAGCTTAGAACAGGTTTCTCCTAATATGTTTCTCATAACTCAAAGAGAAGCACCTGAGACACTTGTTTGAAAGGCAGATCCCATCCAAAAAGTAATGATTATGATTTTTGCCCAAGCCCACCGCTGCCACCCAAAGTGACATTTGCTTATGTGACTCTGACTCACATTACAGTTAGAGGACCGTGCGTTCCAAAGCTGGTTCTCAGCCCTGACTGCAGGTCAGTCACCTGAGTCTCCTCTCGGTGATCATTCAGTCTACGCGTAAACACTTCCAGTGACAGGAAGCTCTCAGCCTCCCACGGAGGCTCATGCCAACTTTGGAAATGCTCCTGCACTTAAATGGTTGTTGGATTTGTTTATAAACCTACCTTCTTGCAACTTTCACCCATCCATGCTGGTTCTACTCCTGTGGTGAATAATGCCTCTCACACATGTCAGCATATCAGGCTTCCTGCATTATCTCTTCACCCATAGATCCTTAAAACCAAAAGCCTTTTGACCTTGCTTTAGAAAGGAAGTAAATCCTAAGGAGCTTTGATGTCAAAGCACCCCTTAGTCAGGAAAGCTGAAAAATGTCAGATTTAAGTTTTAACGCAAGTTTGAAAGGTTAGGAGTTAATACATACCAGGAGGCACAGAAACAAAAACATGTTTTTGCCCCAGTAATCCCATGCAAAAGTGATAATCCAAAAGGAGAGAAAAAGATATAATGCATAAAGATATTGATATTTATGAAAGTGAAAAATTGGAAGCAATCTGAATTCTAAAAAAGTGTGGAATATTTAAAATAATGCATTCCAGAAATACCTTGATACTGAACCTCTGTAGTCAGAGCTGTATTTGTGTATCAGTTTAGCTTTGACTGTGTGACTTTGGAAAAGTTGCTTAACTCCTCAGTTTCTTCATTTGTGCAACAAAAATAACAATTCCTACTTAGCAAGGTTGTGAATTTTAGATGTTATGCATTTAAAACACCTGGCACACAGTATGCTTAGTATATGATAAATAATATTTAAGATTATTTTATTATGGTACATCCACCCAGTAGAAAGCCTTGAAAATAGCTATTATTATAAAATGTGTTTAGCAACTTAGGAAAATATTTTAATTAAATGTTAGGTAAAAATGGATTCAACCACACATATACATTTAAAATAAGTTTATTAAATGATAACAGGGAAAATAAAAATGATCAACCATGTGTGATGGAGTAGGATTATAATCTTTAAAAGTAGAAAAATACATTCCTTTTAGAGGAAATAAGTCAGTATTTCTTAATTAAAAAAAGAAAAATGTATGATAGAAATGTAAGTTTTAAATGTCCTAAAGAATTAGTCATTTTATGTTTGTTTAAACATAAAAATATATTTAAAGAAAAGACCATAAGTCACATCCTGTGAAAGAGCTTGCTGTCACCATTTTGAAACTCAGAAATACTCAGGTTGCCTTTGTAACCAAACGATAGTAGCACACTACCACCCCCTGGTGGCAGCATGCCCAAGGTGTAGGATCAATACCTGGGAAGTAAAATATCACTAATGTATATATGCAAACTCTAAAAGCAAAGGCATAACTATTTAAAGATCTAAAAAACTCAATTTGTGGTCTAGACAACTAACCTACATTAAATTCAATGTGACACATTTATTACAAAATTCATCTACATTATTGCAAATAAAATGTCATAAAAATAACATAATCCCATTAAAAAGTGGGCAAAGGACATGAATAGACGTTTTTCAAAAGAAGACAAATGGCTAAGAAGCAAATGAAAAAATATTCATCACCAATCAAAGAAATACAAACTAAAACCACCATGATATATCATTTTAAACCAGTCAGAATGGCTATGATTTAAAAAAATGTTGGCAGAGTGCTGAGTAAGGGGAATACTTATATATTGTTGCTAGGAATGTGATTGCTACAAGCTCTATGGAAAACAGTATGGATATTTCTCAAATAACTAAAAATAGTACTGCTAGTCCATCGGGCAATCCTACTACTGGCTATATACCCAAGAAAAAGAAATCATATCCAAAAGATACCTGCACTCAGATGTTTATTACAACTCTATTCACAATAGCAAAGATATGGAATCAACCTAAGTGTCTGTCAAGAGACTGGATAAAGAAAATGTGACATATATATACAATGGAATACTATTCAGTCATAAAAAAATGAAATTATTTCTTTTGCAGTAACATGGATGGAACCAAGGCCATTAAGTGAAACAAAACTCACAAACAGAAAGCCAAATAGCACACATTCTCATAAGTGGGAGCTAAGTAATGTGTACATGTGGACATAGAGTGTGGAGTAGTAGATACTGGAGTCTTAGAAGGATGGGAGGACAGAAGGAGGGTGAAGGTGAGAAATTACTTAATGGGTATACACGTATATAATTTAAGTGATGGTTGTACCAAAAGCCCTGACTTCACCATACTGCAATATATCCATGTAACAAAACTGCATTTGTATCCCTTAAATGCATACAAATGAGAAAACCTGGTGTGCATGTGCTTTTAGCTCATTTTCCTAGATCTATGGGCTAGTGGGATCTGCTTATTTGATATAACCAGTGGACATAATTATCTGTGTATTCTATTATTTCATATGATTTTTCAAGTGTGATCAATACAAACTTCAAAATCTTTCTATATTGGAAAATCATATGACTTCTTTGGCACTTAATAGCCATTAAATGCAGAATAGCAAGAAAAATGAAAAATGTTTCTCTTAGACTTCTTCAGGAAATCTAGTTGATAAAACAGTTCATAATACGGTTATTGGAAGAAATACGCAATTATATCAAACTCATTTTGTTTAGAACATTCAAGCTATTTGAAGCAGTTTCCAAAATGTCATTCTAGCATCATATCATCTTATTAGTTAAAATAAAAATATAAACTTTTTTGTATTTTCTCATGAATAAGTGAACAAAACCATATGTTCCCATTCACTGTCTGTACTTTCTAATGTTTTTATTTCTTTTGTTTGTTAATCTCAATTTACAATGATGACTGGCTTTCAGAAAAACTGACATTTCTTTCTAGAGATGCCAAGTATATCCAATTGATTGATGGGATTATTGAATCTGACTATGTCCTTAATTGATCTTCTGACTTCTGCATCTGTGCCCTTTTGATAGAAGGATGTTGAAGTCTCCAACTGTGAGAGTGGATTCATCTACTTCTCCTTGCACTTCTATCAGTTTTGCCTCATGTATTTTGATGTTCTGTTGTGAGGTGCATATACATTAAGAATTCATTGGCCGGGCGCTGTGGCTCTCACCTGTAATCCCAGCACTTTGAAAGGCCAAGGCAGGCAGATCACGAGGTCAACAGATCGAGACCATCCTGGCCAACATGGTAAAACCCCGTCTCTACTAAAAATACAAAAATTAGCTGGGTGTGGTGGTGCACACCTGTAGTCCCAACTACTCGGGAGGCTGAGGCAGGAGATTCGCTTGAACCCAGGAGGCAGAGGTTGCAGTGAGTCGAGATTGTACCACTGCACTCCAGCCTGGCAACAGAGCAAGACTCTGCTAAAAAAAAAAAAAAAAAAAAATTAAATCTTCTTGAAGAATTGACTCTTTTATCATTATATAAAGCCTCTCTTTGTCTCTGATAACTTTTCTTGTTCTGAAGTCTGTTCTATCTGAAATTAATTTAGTGACTCATCTTTTTTTAATGTTAGTATGGCATTATCTTTATCCATTTACTTTTAATATATATGGGTCTTTATATTTAAACTGGATTATTGGCAGACACAGCATATAATTTGGGTCTTGTTTTTTGTTTTTCTTTTTGGATCCATTGTGACAATCTTTTAACTGACATTTAACATGATTACTGTTGTAGTTGGGTTAGTATCTTCTACCATATTTTTACTGTTCTCTATTTGTTGTGCTTGTTCTTCATTCCTGTTTTTGTTCCCTCTTTTTATGCCTTTTGTGGTTTTAACTAAGCATTTAATGTAATTCAATTTTCTGTCCTTTCTTAGTATATCAGTTGTACATCTTTTTTTTTACTTTAAGTGGTTGCCATGGAGTTTGCAATATACATTTACTAATCTAAGACCATTTTCAAATAACACTATACCACTTCAAGTACTTTTTAACAAAATAGTCCTATTCTTCCTTCCTATCCCTTGTATCATTGCTGTTATTTCACTTGCTGTTATTTCACTTACACATGGGCATACATAAATATATATGCATATGTAATCGAATACATTGCTGCTGTTATAAATTTGAACAGTATTATCTGTTATCTCAAGAATAAGACAAAAGCTTTTCTTTTCCCTTCACTGATTCCATCTCTAATGCGCTTCATTTGTGTAGAACTGAGTTTCTGACCTACGTAATTTTCCTTCTCTCTAAAGAGCTTCCTTTAACATTTCTTGCAAAGCAGTCTATTGACAAACAAATGTCCTCAATTTTTATCTGAGAAAGTCTTTATTTCTCTACTTTGGAGAATAATTTCACAAGGTACAGAGCTTTAGGTTGGTAGTTTTTTCTCTCAATACTTTAAGTATTTCACTCTATTCTCTTCTTGCATGTATGGCTTCTGAGGAGAAATCAGATGTAATTCTTTGTTCCTCCATAGTTAAGTGTGGTTTTCCTCTAACTTCTCTCAGGAATTTTCATTATCGTTGAGTTTCTGTAATTTACATATGATATGCCTAGATGTTCTTTGAGCTTCCTGGATCTGTAGTTTATTTTCCTGCATTAATTTGAAGGAATTTCTTGTATTCCTTTCTTTCTCCTCCTGGTATTCTTGTTATGAGTATGTATGCCTTTTGTAGTTGTCCCAGA